CTTCATCTTTTAGCATCATGAATGCTGCACGGGGAACCAAAAATATTTAATTGCCTATAATGTTAAAAACTGGAAAGTATGTCTCAAATCTGTGGGCTATTCCAGAGTCACATGCAGGGGGCTGTAAAAATCCCAGGAATTGTTACTATTTCCTTACTTACGTGAATTTCATTGAATACAAAATAGGATCTTAAGTTGCTTGGTTACACTTACGCAGTGCCACTGACTATATAGTTGGTCTGCATGGGCATAAAAAGGGGGAAGCATTTGACCTCAACTATATGTAGTCCTCAAATATAGGGGCGCACCTTCCCCACATCCCACCATCGCCGCGCCGAGGGAAAGGCGGGCCGCTGCCCCCGCCAGGCCTGCCAGAACTCCCGGAAGGACGCCACGAAGCCCACGTCCTCCAGCAAGCTATTGTTAAAATGCCAATAGGCCGGCCCCAGCCTCTCCGAAGTCAGAGAGGCTTTCACGGACACCAAATGGTGGTGCGTGAACGGGGCCGGCCGGACGCTGGAGGAGTGGGCTTGTGCCAGATGGAATCGCGATAGGTAAATGCGATCCAACCGGGAGTGGCTCCCCCCCCCCGTCCCCCCCCGCGCCCCCCCCCTCCCCCCCTTCCCCCCGCAGCTCTGCTTCCTGCCAGCCGCCACGCCCCCGATATCTCCCGGTCAGCCCCCCCGACCAGCCCTGCTTCCTAAACCCTTCCTTCCTCCCGGCTAGCCCCACTCCTCTCCTGGCTGGTACCTCCCCCCCATCAAGTGTGGCCTTTTTTTTTTTTAAGACTACCTGGTAACCATAGCCACGGGGGGCAGAGCAGATGCCCAAGCCATTGTGTGCGTGGGGGTGGGGCGAGTCCCGGACAGCGCTTTGGGGCTGCAGGTGGCAGGCACGTGACCTAGGGTGGGCAGGATGCCCCTGCAGTGCAGTGGGTTACTTTTTATTTTTGGTTGAGATTGGGCCTGATTGGGACCAAAAGTACCTTAAAACCTTCTCCTGGAGGAAAGGTCATCCCAAGGAAAGTTTGATTGCGGTAGGTCTTATAGTGTCCCAGTTGTTAGAGCACAAACATACAAACATTCTTCTTTATATATTAGATTAGGGTTTTTGGAATTGTGTATGCTCCCATGATTTACTAGGCATGTTACCTAGTTTGACCGAAGCTACAGTTTCAGGTGTGTCTTGCATGAAAGTGCATTTAGGATATGGTTGCCTGCAAATTACAGTTTATCCTGATTATGAATAA